AAAAAAGAAGGTGAAACCTGAAGAATCACCAAAAAGTGATGCCAGCCATAACTGCTTGGCTAATAGAAGTTGGAGGAAGGCCTAATAGAAACTCATTCCAATTAAGGCCTAATCATCTCGTCAAACTACTGCCGAGATAAGGAACTGTTTCTTTAAAGGCTTGCCACTTATACATGAGTTTTCATAGGAAAATCGAAGGTGAAATCTGAAGAATCACCAAAAAGTGATGTCAGCCATAGCTGCTAAAACCTTGGCTAATAGAAACTGGATGAAGGCCTAATAGAAACTCATTCCAAGGAAGGCCTAATTATCTCGACAAACTACTGACGAGATAAGGAACGGTTTCTTTAAATACTTGCCACTTATACATGAGGTTTTGTTAGGAAAAAAGAAGGTGAAACCTGAAGAATCACCAAAGAGTGATGCCAGCCATAGATTGTTGCAATTATCATCTCATCAAAAACTGCAACCATTTAAGTAAACTGCACACAATTGTGTGAATCGACCATAAATTGCTCTAGCTCATGATAGATCTCCATGTTGTCACAAGTCACTATTACATGATCATATAAACATTAATAATAAAGTTATAAACTAGTACAAGCTAAGGTTTTTTTAAGAATCAGAACTAGGGACTCACTGCACAGACAGGTCATCAGTATGTTAGTTGCTCCCTTGAACTGTTAACAACAAAAGCAAGGAACTACACGTAATATAAATGAGCAAAAAATATTTCCCTATCCTTCCTGTCATTCATTTTTCAGAGTTTAGTGTTCTATATAAAATGATAATAAACAGTTAAGATAAATGACGAAGTGATACATAAATCCAAATAAATTTCTGCTGCCTGAAACTAATGTCGCACCAAAACAGAACTGCTAGATCATGAGACAAGGAATGCTTAATCAGATCTTCCAAATGAACAAAATGTGAAGTACAAGCAGCTTTAAGTCTGAAGTTAGCATACCAATTTTGTGATAATAGCTACATAAAATTCATGATATTTACTGTATGCCACAATTGAACTGCTCATTGAATGATGCATAATTAACAATATTCATTCAGCAATGTAGAATATCTGATGCACCTCTCAAAAGATTACCTTAATGTAGTCCTTCACACTTTGCATGCGCTTCTCAACTGGTTCTATTAGGAAAGCATACTGCAATTTCAGGGACCAAAAGACGAGAGTTTAGATCCTCAAAACCAATAATTCAGCAAAAGTACTTGTAGCAACTGTCAGCAGTAGACTAAATAATAAGAGATTTCGAGTCCATGTTTGGGATCAAAATACTCCTTAAAGTTACTAAACCAATTTTAGATTTTGTAACAGTGCAGTAAGCAATGCGCGATTGCTTTGCTCAGTCTCGATGGGCAGCAACAAGTGTTTTGTTATTTTGACCTTAAAAAGAGTATCACAACCCAGCTCGACAGGATAACTACTCGCTAACTCGATATGTCTAGAATATCTACAATGCTTAAGTCACACTCGTGTATCCCTCAACCACTGGTGACTGGACCAAACCTCACATATCACATGTCAGCCTTGATATCATTCCTCACAATCTAACTTTTGGTCGGATAATTGACTTACTAACTTGATAAGCGTAGAACCACGTAATATTGAATGCTGAAGCTTAAGTTAATGGTAATACACTCATCTAGTCTTTTATAGACCAACTAAAGTCTTCTCCCAATTTTCGAAGTGGGACTCATTGGAGGTGTTATAGAGAGTCCTACAGACGACAATTAACTAATGGAAAACTCTCACTTAATGGCTGTGTCAAATGATGATTAGCTGAATAACAAATCAAATAGTTGATATATGGACACCAGCAGAGTGCGAATAAGAATAAGATTTGCTTCGGATTTGTTCTTTGCACGATTAGGACTTTCTGATTCAATTTTTATTACCTATTTTTGCTTCCAAACAGGCAAATCGAACAAAAGGTGAAGAAAAAGGAACAAGAGGGCACCTTTTTCTTGCTCAACATGGGTCCATCACAAACCCCCACGACGACGCGCTCCCTCGCAAGCTCCGCGGATGCCTACAGAACGAAAGCTTAAGCTACAAGCAGACCATCACAAGGTAGATAACCCGCATGGCAAGAAGGAGAGGGAAAAGGGGGACCTTGAGGAACAGGTGGTGGCCCTGGTGTAGTCTGTCAAAGGTGCCGCCGATCACGACAGCCGCGTACGAATTCGGAGGTTGAGACGAGTGATCGGGATGGGGATCGGGATCTGGCGAGCGAGGAGAGGTCGTCGTCTTCAGATCATCCATGGGAGGAGAGAGTCCAGGAATCGAAAGGGGAAAGGTCATGTCATCTTCAATCTATCGATACCAAGTCGGCCTCCTATTTCCAAGCTATCGCCCCCTCTTATTGGAATCTGGACGGAATTCCATCTCCCTCCACTGCTACTTTTGCTTGTCAGAACGGTCGATCGATAACAGTCAAATTTTGACTGACACCGATCAATATTAGGATTTGTTAAATTCAGACGGTTTATTTGAACTATTGAATCAAACGTAAGGTTTTTTTTTTTTTTTTGTGTGAGTAGTAATACGATAATCGATCTTATGATATAAGATAGTATATCAATGGTAAAAATAAAAATTTTGATATTCTTTTGATTCATACTAAATTATATTTATCTCAAAGTTCACAATGATCAAATTATGATCAGATTGATATACCAATGAATATGATGTATCAGTAAATGAAATTATGAAATTAATTTTAAGATTAGATCCGATAAACATCAAAGATATAAAGATACATAAGAATAATAATCCAGATCTATCAGTCTCGTCATTTTTTTTTATGATCCAGATACATAAAAATAATAATAATCCAGATCTATCATCTCCACCTAAATTTTCAACCTTTAAACCATCATATCCTACTACATTTGAGAAAGTCAAACACGACAATTATATATTTTAAAATATCTCTACATTAATTTTTTTATATTTTATAAAAAAATTATGTACGACCCTCACATATTAAGTTTGCTATAGAAAAATATCGAAATAAAAAAATATCAAACTACCACTAATGAATTGACTTCGCCACCCAAACCTCTCCAATAAGATGTAATTTCTTGACCTAATCCGATTGGGATGTGGTACCACCAAACTAGGTGGTAGCTAAACTAGGCGGTAGTACTGCCTAGGATGAGATACTTTTAGGCTTCAAATTTGAATTCACTTAAGGCCTATAAATACCCCTCTCATCCTTGGTTAACATCCACAAGAATTGAGAGTAAAAAAAAAAAGAAAACGTTATTGTAATATTATATGAACTTTTCTTAAACTCTAAGTGTTAGTGAAGTTTAAAAGAGGAGGTTATGGGGCTGTAAAGGTTTTCTTCTAAGCATGTCAAAAGGAGAATAAAATTGTAAAAAAGTGATTGATTTTTACCTATTGAATGAAGACTGTTAGTGGATGCCGGTGGTTTCGACGAAGAGAGAAATCGAGAGTGGATGAGGTCACGACGATCGAACCACTATAAAAATCTGATTTGCATTTACTTCTTGCGATTTACCTTTATTACAAACTGAATCCTTACTTATATTCGAACACGCATTCAATTTCAAGTTATCTTTCGAGATCGATTTTAATCGAAATGAAGATTTTTCGAACCAACGTCATTATTATCCATTGTACTAATTCATTTCCACTTATAGTGTCGACTTGATCCTAATAAAATTTACTATAAAAAAATTATCAAAATAAAGAAAATATCAAACTACCACTAATGAATTGACTCCACGACCCAAAAGTCGACATCTTGTACCCATCAAATATTTGCATCATTACTATCTACCTAATCCTACATTACAAAAAATAACATCCATTCCTGCGTTGACTTTTGCCCATTACAAAGTTCGAATATATATATATATATAGAGAGAGAAATCAATTCGGTCGGTCAATGCTAACTTTGTACGTTCAGTCAACGAGCGTCATTCGAAATGTGATTGGTGTAAGAAAAATAGTAGCGTGAAATATATCATAATATGCAGAATAATGTTTGTCTATTTATTTTGGAGGTCAACTCATTTTGAAATTATAGGGTTTCGCCGGCTCCCCAAATCTTACAGTTTTTGATGGATGGTTATCCAATTTTAGGGTGAATCGATCGATCGATCGCCTCCGCTCTGCTGTCGATCTTACCGGTCCTATCCTTGCGTTCGCTGATTTGCTTCGACTCGGTTTCTCCACCGTTCCAAGTTGATTCCTTATATTCAGGTAAGATTTCGTTTGTGCTGTTGATGATGATCTGTGATGAGGTTTTGGATGTCGGTATAGACGCCATCTTTAGCTAACTGCAAGGGTTCGCTTTGGGTCGGCGATACTGACCTTTCTAGGGCTGGAGTCTCGGAGCCCCGCCGCTCCCGAGCGACCTCCACCGGCGCCGACCATGGTGGGGCGGCCACCGATACCTCCGAACTCGTCCGCGACGAAGAGCAACCCTCGCCCCAACATCTCGCCGGCTCTCTACGCCATTCCCGAGTCCACTCCGCTTCCGGACTCCCCCTCGTCTTTCCCTCCCGCGTCTCCCTACATCATCAACCACAAGCGACGGGGGCCGCGCCTCCTCAACGGTGGAAGCCGACTGCAGCCGCCGCCGCCGCCGCAGGTGGTGCAGAAGGCTGAGGCCGTCAATGGAAATGGAGTTGAAGTTGGTGTGAATGGTTCTCATGGCAACGAGTTCGATGGGAAAGGGAAGCCCGGGGCTTCGCATGGAGGCCAAGGTGAACCGGACTCGGTCACAGTTGAACTTCATGAAGAGAAGCTTAAAGACGCGCATGTGGAGAGTGGGGTTGTCGGGTCCGAGGAATTGGCCAAGCCATGCCCTGTTGATTTGGAAGGAGACATGGAGACTGAGGATTTCTTTGATCCCCAGGACTCTCTTAGCACCTCTAGCAATCCTGAGCTCGACAGAAGTAATGGTTCTGTGTGCTGGAGGCCTGGTACTCCCTCGGGGGAGTATTTCGATGCGTTTGAAGGTACACTTTCATAGGTCTCAGCTAATACTATCATTTTATTGGCCTTCTTTTCTTGTTTTTGGTATTATTTGACAAGATGTGTACCATCTGAGGTTATGAAGCATGACTATTATTGATATGATGTTTGATGCTAGTTTCATCGATTCAGTGGATCTCATACAATAGCTGAAAAACTTGGAGTTTTTCTGCAATTGAATATCTTATATGTGTAGAACAGTTCTTTAGTGTCAAGTTTAGATAAGTAGTTTGTATAATCTCTGATCCTGTATTAAATGGGGATGATTAATATGTAAATAGAATAACATAAGAAAGTGAGAATATTGGTAGGGAAAAGAAATCATATCGTGAAATAAATTTGTCAAGGACTCCAGGGAATATAAAAGTCCAAAAGGGAAATCTTTAGCACTTAATGATGTTTATATTACACAGAAATCTATTGCGTCGATTGAGCACATAGTGTCTCATGGATTCGGTCATCACAACCTTGAAAGCATCTGGATTTGTCACAAAAACCATGGAACTTGAACAAGAGTAAAGTCCCAAAGCATTTCTTAACTTGTGAGTGGCATGGGCCCATGTTATGGAACAGATCCACCCATATGCTAGCATTTAACTGTAATCAACTAACATAAAATGCAATGACTTGTAATTAGACTGTAACCTCCTTTACAAGTTGTCAAGCTAGTATATTGTCTCTGTTCAATTTTTTTAATATTGCCAAAGTATTAGATTTCTATCAGATATAACCTTCTCAACTAGCTTGTGATATAAACATGTAAATCCTATAATCATAAGATAATGAAACTAACTTCTGTAACTGCACAAGCGAATATAGCATATTATATGCTGATAAACATTTGATGAATAAGCAACATAATGATTCATTCATTTAGGCTAAATGTAAGAGTTTATAGCACTTAGCTAATATATTGCTACCATATGATTCTATCTGCATGCCCAAAGATGATGCATCCTTTGTGGCCACGAATACCAAATGTGACCCTGTTTTTTCGTTGATCTGCTAATAAGTGCATCTTGCGACCGATCCACATATGCAACTGCATAAACCACTTTTAAAACATTGGATAGACCTATAAATGACAGACTCATCAAATTGTGGCTTGCCTTCTCAAGGCTTGTCGGATCACATTAATATATTCTTCAGATGATCAGTATTCTAATGACATACTTAACAGTTGATCATTTTGTAACTGAATCACTCCATGATCTAGATTTCACTAAAGACCATAACTTAGACGTACTCAATTTCTTTTGCTTGATACAGAGATTTCCAGTGATGGTACTTCACAATCTTATCGAATTATTGAAGATGAACTGCGTGAGACGAGGCTGAATTTATTGATGGAGATAGAGAAACGCAAGCAAACTGAAGAAGCAGTTGAGAACTTGCAAAACCAGTGGAAGATGCTGAGTCATCATCTGTCACTTGTCGGCTTGAAGTTTTCTGCACCAACTTTCACCATTGAGGTGGATAAACAGTCCAATGTTGATCCTGCAGAGTTGTGCCAGCATATTGTTGTTTCACGCTTTGTGGCTGATGCCATAGGCAGGGCTTGTTCTCGTGCTGAGGTTGAAATGGAGACAGAACCTCTAATTGAATCTAAGAACTTTGAGATTGCTAGATTACGTGATCGCCTCCAGTATTATGAAGCTGCAAACAGGGAGATGTCTCAAAGAAACCAAGAAGCAGTTGGTGAGAATGCTAAATTTACATTAAGAAGCGAAACACATATTACTTCTCCACTTAGTCTTAATCAAGCATGTTATTGGCTATAATTTTTGGCTATCCTTTTGATCATGTCTTGAATTCATATATTATATTTCTGTGGCTGTAAGTGTCATCAAGAATGTGAATAGCAATTTATAAAGAGAACTGCAGGTTTTTCCTTGGGCAAGTCTCACTAATCAGTATTTGCCAACTGATGAACCACATACACACATGCACACACACAAAATATTTTTGGTTAACAAACTTTTGAAATTCAAACTAGAACTGTCCCTCTTTGTAGCTTTTAACCAAGTGGTTAAAGTCTGAAGATACTGGATCCTTTTATGTTATTTCTACAGTTTTTACCTTTTTGCAGAATTTCTAGTTGGAAAACTTTGGTATCATTGAGATACGATGGAATATAACTGTAGTTAATCTTAAGCAGAAAAAAACTTTGATTCATGTATCACTGAGGCCACATTTCTTAACAGTAGATATTTAATTTCAGTCTATTCACCTTACACTTAATTTGCATTGTCAGGCTGATTCTGATATGATAAATTCATTAGAAAAATGGATGACCTTATTTTTATGACTTTTTATTTGACTAGACATATTTCATTAGCAGGGGCAGGATTCTAGTTTAGGGGGCATTATTAGAATGACTGGTCACTCATGCTACTAGTTTGATACATGATTATTCATTATTCAAAACACTTGTTAATTTTATGATTCAAATGAAGTGTTCTTTGAAGTCTTTTCACTTGAAGGTTAGGGTGTAAAGCTGACATTTTGGATTAACTTATTCCTAATAGGTTTGCAATTTATTTGGTTTCGTTTGATTTTTTTGTTATCATTCTATAAATAATTTTTTAGAATGAAGCTCATCTATTACATATGAATAATAATAAAAATAATCAATAATACCAAATTAAATGTGAGAAATAAATTTTTGAATTTAATTTACGAGAATATTTTTGGAGAGAAGTTAGGTGAGGCCTACAACAATTATTGTGAGGGACATGAGAAGACTACTGTAGATCTGACATTTTGGATCAACTTCTCCCAGATATTTTGACAGCTTTAGTTGGCTTATGCTGATATTTTTAGTCTCTTGCTATGAACATAATATATTAGAAAAAGAGTTTTTTTCTCTGTCAATCTTGAATACCTAAAAGATAAATAAGCATATGATGTTTAATGCGAGAATTAATTTTTTGAAATGTATCACTGTGATATTTGGACATTAGTTTGGTGAGATTCACAACAATTATTGCAAGGATCCACAACATTTTTGCCGCTAACGGAGTTGCTTCTATTTGCTCCAATTGAATAATGGTTGCCTCATTTCTGTAAGTTTGGTGGTCTTACATTTAGATGGTAGCTTTCACTTTAAGCAACAATTTTGGATCACTTTCATACCCTAAGTACCATTGACATCTAAGCTTTATGGAGGTTTGATATCAGCCTACATGCAGTGTTGATTATTGTTATCTAGCAGCTTTAGCTCAGTCTACCTCACAGATATCTGCTTTTGTGATTTTTTTTAGTAAATGAACTTTATTAACATGATATTTGAAATACGTAGATTGCTTTTAATGCAATATTCTCAGTTTGCTATCCTGTTACATTTGCTGTTTAGTTTTAGATAATGTACCGAACTTTTACCTGCACTCAGAATTATGAACTACCATGCCTGCACCTGAGCCCATCTCCGCACCCATAAGTGAAAGCAGTAAAAGGAACATTTGTGCTTCTTTTGATCATCGATTATTGTCTTTGCAGAATTGGCACGACAACATCGTAACAGGCGCAAGAGAAGGCAGAAATGGTTTTGGTGCACAGTTGGTCTCCTTGTGACTGTTGGTGCCACTGCCGTTGCATGGTCTTATCTTCCTGTCTCGAGGTCTTCAACAACTGAAGGCAGTGCCACGGAGAGCCATGAAAAATGAAAGCAAAAGATTTGTGCTAGTTGTTAAGTGTTTTCTTTGCTTATACTCCTACATAATAACATCATGTACATAATAAGGAAGTAAAAGCTGAACAAGATCGCTGGGCTTACGCATTGGTCTTCAGCTTTCGTGCATTTCTGTTGCTCTCTCTGTATATAATTGGATTGGGTGGGTCGATCCCAGCTGGAATTTGGCATTCACACATGAAACAAGTTGTTTCTTTGATGCTGAAGTGAATAATTGTGTTGTTGAAGATCTTTTTGATGGGGTGGGTTTTGGTTTCTTCTTGGAGTGGACATGGATGTAATATTGTAAGGTTGCACCCTTAATGATCAAGATTTTTTGTTCTCTCCGAATTGGTGAAAGTTGCTCGAGATCTATAGAAACTTGTGTGCCCTTGCCCACACGATCTTGCTTGCACACCCTTGTTGTAGTCATTGCCCACACGCATTCGTCGTCCGCATGTTCGAGGTTCGAGGGAGCGTTCCACGACAACACCACAAGATTATGGACTTCACAGTGGGACAAAGGTGATAACCAAGGATAGATGAGGGCAGAAGTGGCGAGGATCGAAGGCCTGGTGCAATCGGGCGACAACAGGACAAAGTCAAGAATAATTTCATCTCTTAGAAAATAAGAAATATTGTACAGAAATTAAAAAAAATCTATAAAAAAATAATTTCAAAATTTTATCTGAGAGAGAGAGTGAGAGAGATCAATGGCCATAGTAGACTGACTACATCAAATTCATCAAATGCCGGTGACCATACCACACCAATGACTCCAACAAGTATACAAAATCCATATTATCACCGATATGCCAAAGAGTCCGAACCAAGCCGGTAGTGACAAAAGGATCATGATATGATTGCTGTCAGAGAAATAAAACAGATGACAAGGCATCTAAGAGAAGAACACAAGTATCATTTATTTACGACTGTTGATCTCCACCGCCAATCTTGGTCCACTAAACCACTGCATATTGATGGATCAGGTGGCAAAAGCATTGGAATAAGAGGAGCACAAAGTGGCTTCCAAAGAGATTAAGCGAGCCAGCAACTTAAAACTAGATTATTTACTTCTCAAACTGTCTGGTTTCATGGTTTATTTCACTGTTCTAGTCAGTGGGCTGGTGTGTTTTGATGAATTCACATCAAAACCATGGTCCATTAAGCAGCAGAGGGGACAAAGTTCAAGGTGGTGAAAGGCATCTATTTTCACCCTTGCTTCAAAAGCAAAATTTCTTCTTCTGCAGAAATGCCAAAGAGTAGGTCAGTTATTCGACTTGTCAATCGACAGCATAGACAGAATTTATGAAATTGACCATCTGACTAACCCGCATCTTGGCCTCCTCTTGACGGTCAATATATGCAAGAAGTTCATCTTGCCTCATAAGAGCTTCATGCAAAGCCTACCAAGAACATAACCATTTCATTGATGCATGTAGGAGAACACATTATCAAATATAAACAGCAAAAATATCATAAACATAAAGAGAGAGCATATGCTAACTAATTGCATGACTGCAGGGAATATGTATAAAAAAATAAAGCACATGTGCAATACGACGCATGGCAATGAGGACATCTAAATCATGAATTAAGAACTTCTAGAACAGGTTTGAGAATAGTTTCACTTATCAAAGAATTCAAGTGACAAGAAAGACAATGTTTTGGCTTGAATATTATGCTCCACTAGTAAGTGTTGCTTTCTATAACACAGGCACTTGTGTTAGATTAAGATTTATAGAATAGATAGATAGGACATAAAGCACACCTTTTTCGTGACAATAAGCTCAGCTTCTAATGCATCTACCCGACAAACGGCTGCGTTGAGCAACTCATCTTTCTCTGAAGGCATTTCAGATGGTTTTGCTTTAAGGGTGTCCACCTTTTCTTCCAGCTCTTCCAACCTTCTTAGAAGGCGTGAAAAGAGGTCAGCCTCTGTAAATACAGGAGCAGGTGAAGGAGGACGGAATTCCTCCTTGGGCACAGGATCCGCAGCAAAAGAAGGATCGTGTTCATCTATTTCAGAGACTTCATTCTTTAGCCTCTTTGACACACATCTGATGACTGAATAAACCAGTGTATAGAGATACATGATGATGGTCACAAGGAATTGGATTGTTCGAGCTTGAACTCCTTGAGGAGTGTTGTGTGTCTTAGAGATAGAGCATTCTCCTGCAATGAAGATAACATGAGCCAACTTTATCTCAGAAAACAATAATACAGCATGATGACAGGTTAAAAGCTACATGGCATCCCAAATGCAATAAAAATTCACCTCTCCAGGAATTATTCTCTTTGAACCATTCAAATAATTTGCTGAGGATCCAAAAAGAGCCCAAAGTAATCACCAATAGACAAGCCTACAGAACTCTGAGGTGCTTCTTTGAATAACCATGTAAGTTGACATCCGAACTTTACCAAGTTGATGCAAATGGCATGGATTAGCAAGAATTTGAACTTCCAAATTAGATGTTTAGAAGATATTTAGATGAGGGGAGGAAACCCAAAATAGCTTGGTCCATGGATTTTGGTGATTAAACAAATAAGATAATTGACCAAATTGTAAAATGAGGTAGATCTATTTGCTCTAAAGAAGTTTGTCAACTCCATTGAAAACCCAGTATCTTGAAGCCATAGTTTGCCAACTAATAAGACCATTTAGTCCCACATTGGTTGAGGAATATGAGAACCAAGGGTTCATAAGTCCGCTGAGTCTCCCTTACCCTTAGAGGCGCCTTTTGGAGCTCACATGCTCCGAAAGGACAAAACAATGCGATTACGCCCATCGCCCAAAGTGGACAATTTCTTGCGAGCCTACGGGCCGCACTAATGGTTGACCGACCAAATAGTCCCTTAACATTTTGACGCTAGAAGGAGGGGCCGAGGCCTGCATCTCGGCCAAGCAAACTAGCTCCTGAGTCGTGCACCTCGGCTATGAGTCCTTGCTCCCATACGAGAGGGAGCACTGATAAAACCATTTAGTCCCACATTGGTTGAGGAGTATGGGAACCAAGGGCTCATAAGTCCACTGAGTCTCCCTTACCCTCAGAGGTGCCTTTTGAAGCTCACATGCTCCGAAAGGATAAAACCGTGCGGGTACGCCCATTGCTCAAAACGGACAATTTCTTGCGAGCTTACAGGCCGCACCAATGGCCGACCGACCAAATAGTCCCTTATCACCAACAAATAGAATTGGTTTGTTATGTCAACAATCAAACAAGTGTAGGATAACATTAATATTTGAGATCATCGTCAATATCTCTAATTATCGGCAATAAAGATGAAATTACTTGCAATAACAACTATTAAAAAAAACATTAGATTCATGGACCTTTAGATGTAGATAGCCTTTTGTTAGAGACTTCTTTCTTCCAGCCGCCATCAACAGCCTTGTCTACCATGGGAACGTATTCATCATACTGTGGAAATCCAGAAGAGAAACTAGCTGCCTTAACCATTTTTGCCTGCAGGAGGAGATGAGATTCATAAATGTTAATAATGACTTCTTACAACCGCCACCGATGGATATCGTCACAATTTCAGAGGCAACTACATTTATCACTGTTAACAAGAGGTGTATGTGGCATAAAGACTAAAAGCTAAAGTTAAGAACAGAATACAGCCAAAAGACTGCAAATAAAGAAAAACAAAGGACATAATTAATTCTTGTTATGAAAGCAAAATTTGTGATATTGTGCAAGTCCACAGTAAAGAGAACAATAAAAGAGGATAAACAGTGTCATAAGCAATGCTAGAGAAGATTAATAACTGCAAAATTTGAAAATTCAGCTTCCTTTCTGAAGCAACAGGAAATAAAAACTGATTATACACCTCTTGAACAACTATAATAACCAAACTTACCTCTTCATGTACTGGGGTCAAGCGAGGATATGATACATGAGCCCGTGCTGCTTTAGGAGAAGCGATATCTTCAGCTTCTGATCCAGATTCGGCAGTAGATGTATCACTACCCCTTATCTGTTTCAGCAACAAATAATTCAGTACCACAGAAATTTGATTTAAGTGCAAGAACCGATATCAAATGAGAACTCACTGTTGGGTTTTGTGGCTTAGCATATGCAATGATCTTTCCCTCCCCATTTGAAACAGCTACAATTTGCCTGGCACATTGTGCTTCACCACTAAGGACCATCTGTATACCAACAAATCTCATGGTAAATACTGCACATGAAAAGGAAAGAAAATGTTGAAAAAAATGAGATTCTAACAGATACCTTCAGTATATTTGGGTCCTTCCATGGGCCTTTTTCAGATTTTAGGCATCCTCCATGATCTGCACAAGTACAAGAACCACCAAGAAACTCTGGCAACTCACTGGAGAATAATTCAGAGTAATATGTTATAAGGTAGAGTCAACACCTGCCTTCATGGTCGAATGTTGTATAAAATAATAGGCAAAGGACATACCTGGGCTCGATTATCTCTAACAGCTTATTCTGGTACTTTGTTCCAAGAACCTGATGGAAGTTGGAAAAACAATCTCAGCATGCATCTTCTCGTCTGAGTAAAGATCCATTTCATCAAGATATGAAAAAGAACTTACATGAATTTTAGAAGTAGTCTTTGGGTCCAGAAAGGACTTTACAGTGTTCCACAGAAGCCTGAATCCTGGGCCCGCATTGACGATAAACATTCGGTGCAAGGTCTACAGACATTGTTTCAACAAGGTACAGGCATTTCTAGTCAATGTGAATATTACTACATTCAAAATCCACTCAAGTGAAGATGACTATGTCTTGTATACCTCAGGGTAGTTATCACTGTCAATCTTCTGCAATCGCTGAATTAGTTCTCTGGCAGTCTTGCTGAAGTTTTTCAAACCCTATAAATCGGACAGATCATGTCAAGAATTGAAGTGATGCATCAGTTCACTGTACATTCTAACTAAAGAAAATTTATGTTTCTTCATGCTGCTGAGTCTGTTATAACATACCACGCCTTGAACATCAAGAATAGTTGTACTTGAATCAATGTGCCTTTTTGCAGCAATTGAACAAGCCGGGAATTTAATTAAAAAGCTCCTCTCAAACTCCTTCACATGATATTTTACATAACGCTCCATAGTGGTGACCTGCATTAATTTGTTAGGATCGACTTTCCCCAACCTTTCAATATAAACAGGTCTCCCCTCTTTGTCCACCCCATGATAACCATGAGGATAGTATTGTAGAACTTCATTTAACTCAGAATACTCAAAGTCCTGATGAAAGATCAAATTCAATTAGATATTTAAAGTAAAGACAATGTAAACAAAAGATGAACTGCTACTACGGGATAAGGGGAAAAGGAGGCCAACATCTGAAAATAGAATATGCAGTTTAGTTTACAAGAAGGTTTTATATTTGTCCAACAAAAAATCCATAATCATTTAGAAACACTCATATAAAGTTAGAAATAATTTAATAGAAAATTATATTCCAAAGTAACAGTTTAAACTTTAAAGTAATATGCAGATAATAAACAAGATATAAGTTTAACAAGATAATGACTTCTGTCATTCCTTTGAATGCAAATTCTAGCACGTGAGATGATTTACAATTTTAATATAAGCATCTCATGTTACAGTTTAATATTTACTTGTTAATATAAGGAGAACATATCAAAACTCATAAATATGTCCATTCCTAGGTTATTAAAATTCACTGAAGATGTGCCTTAAATAAATCTTCATGAAATTGACTTAACATAAACATGACAAGCTCCCAAGGTCTCTATTATTTTATACATTTTAACAGGTGTTCACAGAGCTATTCAGTTGTATACTAAATAATTGCTTCACAGTGTTTGAGGTTCAAGTAATAACCTCAACAATAGTGTCCGTGCCATATTCCTTTCTCCATTGAAGCATTTCGGCCCACATATGCTTTGCTTTCTCGATATCAAATTTCCGTGCTTTCAGAAATCTATAAGAAAACAAGTTTTCAAAATATTAGGCATGAAAAATTAACTGCAAAGCAATAAGGTAAGCATAATTTGCTTCATAAGGAAAAACGTATATGAGAATATTGAAGAAACAACAATATTTCAGGTAATTAGTGAAAAGAAAACAAAATATTAAAATCTTCTTCATTCTAGAAAGAACTATACACCTATAATCCAGGAACAGAAAGGCTAAGTATGAATCGACAGAAGGACAAATGAAGAAGGAAAACTTAGAAGTTATAAATCAAGCTAAGCAGACTTAAAGGAATTGCATATTAACAATAATTGAGGATGAAATACAGAAAAAAAACTCTGAAATATTTTGATGCCTTGAAAAAGACAAATAAAAAGCACTGGTGCAAATCAATACAAATTTAAGTGCAAGAAAGGTAGATAAGTTCTATGAATGACTTGCTCAGAAAGAATTAGCATGACAGCCTTATAAATCTTCCCTACCATGGTTGGTTGCATGGATCAAGAGAAAAAGAAAGGTGGTTTTGGTGAAGGTAACAAGGGTCAAAATTGCAAAAAAAGCTTAAAGATATATGGCAAAAGCATATAAAGATATTTAATGGCAAAACATTGGTAAAAGAGAAATAACTTACCTCAGCATCATATGATAATCATCATGCTTTGCAGGCAACAATTCATCTAAAATTAGTGACTGACGGAATGCATCAACAGCCTCTAGTTCCTCAATATTTCTTATGTCCTCAATTGAAACAGAAACGACCCGACCATCACTCTTCCTTCTGTTCTTTTTCTTTAAAGAATGCCTAAATTTCGTAGATGCATTTATAGCTTTTTTCTTCAGCGTTCCAATTCTTGTCCTTCTTTCATCTTCTGAATTTTCAATATCTGATTTTCGTTCCTTTCGCTCATCATGGCTTGAAAACCCCTCAAAGCCTATAACAAGTAAAGATGTCATACGTGATTCATTAATGAAGAAAGATACGTTATAAAGGATGCAGAAAAACAAGAGAATTTTTCTTATGCCAAATGGAAGAGTATGCCACTTGAGAAAAGGAAACAAATGGAGTGACATAGAATGATAGAGCTTCAAGAGTAGAAAGATCCCAAATGTTTTGTAATATCTTGCCAAATGACTGATTAACAAATTTACACATCACTACTAATCACTTTGATTCCAAACAAAGGGAAAAAAAATGCTTGTACATTGTAAGTTTGTTACAAAATTTGGATTCTAACATCAAATACAAAATGACTAAAGCCAGGTCAAGCAATAAATCCGATCGAAAAATTTGGGTAAAGTCTTGTTTGAGGCAGAAACAAATAAGTTCGCATTTGGGGAAATGCTTTTTAAATGGGGTAAATTTTAACGGTAATGTGGTCTGTCACAGACCTGATAATGTAGCATCCACACTCGTGGATCCCATGCATCGGGTCTGTGTTAGGAGCCACCTAGCAGCAATATTGATAATTTTTATCAATAAATGAATCCCATCCTAATGTTTATTGGCCTGACTCAAGTTTGTAAAACATGGAACAACAAATGAATAATTTTAAACACCAAGGGCTTTTATTGAAGATACTGTTTTTCTTTGAGTGTGGTGATAGCTCATGAAGAAATTGAGACACTTAATCATTAATCAGAAACCCAACAGCAAATTCAGTCTACAGCATACATCGATACCCTACTAGTAGCTATAAACAACCAAGGATGTATTTTGCTAAGATCTCATACAAGAAGCAAGCAGATCAGATTGATCTAAAATGAAAAATCCAAAGTCCACATATTTAAACTAGTCATTATGATCTGACACAAGGAAAAGGAAAAAAGCGACTCACAGGGCCTAGCGAACCGATCCAGTGGCCCCGACATATCACAAGGACATATCACGGCAAATAAACCAGCGCGATCAAAATACCACGGGGGGAGGATGAGGAAGAGGAGGCTAAGCGAGCACAATTACTCCTGCAAAGAAGCTACATTCGAGTCAGAAATCCATTGCAAACCCTAGAATGCCCAGATCTCCCAGAAACCCCAACCGGAGTCGGAACCTAACTACCTCAAAAGATCTGGCGCCTCGAGACGGATGCAGAGATGAGCCAGACGCAGGCGATAGGTTCAGGCGCGAGATCGATCGTGGGGACGGCAGCGGAGAAGCGGCGGTAGGACAGCCGACAGAGCTGAGGTGCGGGAAGGGCATGAGGAGGCAGGCGAAACTAGCGACGTAGATAAAGAAACGAATCGCGACTTCCCCGGCCGTAGAAATCGGGGGCCTTTCGGAGAGGGCCCGAACCGCAAGCTGCAAACACTCGAGTGTGCGGGGCCCAACAGAAGCCACGTGGTTGGTGCTGCCCCCCCGCGGATAGTGGGTCCCAAGCGGAACGCGCCGGTTTTAAGCGACCTAAAAGATATTTTTATTCTCTCTAGGCTTTATTATTATTATTATTGAAAACCGCTGATATTGCAACATAAACATTTAAATTAGCATTTATTTTCTAAAAATTCGATGTCCGAGTCTGGGGCCCATATAAGGTGGGGCCAATAGGAGAGCTGTTGCAAATACTACAGATATATATTAAGAAGTAAATGAATTATGAGCAGCAATTGCGTACTATTTAATCAACCCCTACCGACTCGAAATTAAGAGAAGCAATTGAGTACCATTTTAATCAACCACCACCAACTCGAAATAAAAGAGTTTTGGGTCGTAGTAATGCTGAAGCAAGCTGTACCTTGTTCACCATCACCAAACATGAGTTTTGACTGCAATAATATAATGTCAACCGATGATACCAAAGAGATGACAGGCTGACTGACCATCATGGTTGGTTGGAGGATAATGCTGAGGAGATGCGACTCTTATTTGTCTTTCTGAGAAGAATATTAGCTTAGGAATGTCTCTGATTGTAATAGTGTTATTTACTGGTGCAGATCGGCTCTTTGAAGAAACAATTATCATGAGGGAGATTAATAACGGATGGCAGCTGGAAAATATTCCGAAAAGAAAATTGTTTGATGGGGAAATAATAATAATATATAGCAAGGATCAAATATACCTGTCTTCGCATCGGTTCCCTCGCGACAACGTCACTCACTATCGCAGGTGTCACCATCTCGATACCATAGTGCCCCCTTGGACAGGTTAGGATGCACAGAATGCGTTGACAAGGCCGAATCTGTAGCTTTACGACCAGCGTGACTGAACTTAAACAATCACAAAATCAGGTAAGCCTAACACTCGGTAATAGAAGAGATTAAATATCATTTTCCCTCTACATGTCTACACCTTTGCAGTACCTTCATAATTTTCTTTTTCGAAAAAAAAAACAGCTTAGATTAATTCAAATATCGAACTTAGATCAGTACTAAAAAAGAAGAAAAAAGTTGAAGGCTTTGGGCCAATTCCCTTGGAACAAAAATTGAGATCTGAATGATCTAACCCTATTTGCCAACTAGTTGGCATATCGATTTCCTTCATGAAAAGTATGAGAAATTTTTTGCATCTAAAAAAAAAAATCTTGCATGAGGTTGTAAATCGCCAAGGGGGATCACAGTGTCGTGACAACAGGCGTACCATGTATTCTGCATTCGTCTCCACTTCCACTTTCCCCACTCATCGCTCCTTACACAACATCCGTCCTTCATGAATAGCAGCCAACTCGTTGATGAAGCTGCCTTTGCCTTCAGTGTTCTTGCCACCTGCAAACAAGCATATGCCAATAGAGTCACGAAGCAGCAAAAATCCCACCCCACCAACCTGGAATGGCTCATGAAAAGTGCCATCAGTGTTGAGACCATCTAAAATTGATCTGGTTTATCAAATCTTGTTGGCCCTCGTATATGGAAGAAGGAATACAATCAAAACCATGCATCATCACTTGATAGAAAATGGATTTTGGAGTTTTCTTGCAGTTCCCAAAAACTACCTCATTTTGGGCCTTCTAGATTAACCAAAAGGTATATGCGATCAAAGCTCTCAAGGTCATAGCACCATGCTTGTTGAGATCACTCCCTTCCAGCATGCCATGAGTCCAAGTGTTGAAAGTGAATGTCCAGCTTAACCTAATAAGTGACCATACTGTAGAACTGAAAGAGCATTCGAAAAATTTATGACTAACAATTTTACAGTGGGAATCACAAAGATAGCATCAGTGTTGGGGACAAATGCCAAGATTGGCTCAGTGATCTCTTAACACTATTGCAGTAGCTTCATGTTAAGATGGTGCGCATTGTGGGGAAGCATCTCCTAACACGGCATATTTTATTGTTCATTTGACCTAATCCTACATCATTATTCTCTTAGCATATCGAGCACAATGATCTTCACATAAGAAGTCTATTTTGCATCTTAAAATGGAGGATTTTCTAGGCCTCCTCTTCTTAAGAGAGGAATTCCTCCCATTTTCAAAGTAAATAAGAAGCCCCTTTATCTTTGTTTTAATAGGAGTCTCTATTATGAGTTCATTGATTTTTGCACCATAATGCAATGCCCGTTGACTTGAGCGGGGTGACATTGAGGGTTGACTCCTAGTATACGACTGTTTAATAGTTTTACACCCACCCAGCAGCAGCTATGCACTCAAGAAGAGTCTCCTTAGTCGTGATTTTGTCTACACGATCATCTTCATAGAAAAAAGTTTTACACTATAAAGACATAATATTTTAACAATCAAAAGATAATCCTCTTCAGTGTAAAGAGGACCAAAAGGTCCCAGCAACGACATCTCCTACATCAGCTTCTAAGTCTTCAATGGGGTCATCTTAAATCATTGGATCACTTGGAAATGCAACCAAAAAGAGGCAATACTTATGAAACAATTCAGATAATAAAAAATAATAAACTTTGAGATAACAAAAAACAAACCTACAAAGAGGCAATACTAGTATTAAGGAACAATTCAGAGAATCAAAAGATACTAAGCTTTGTGATTCGGCACTCTTACTAATGTCTATGAAAATAATAACTATAGTTGTCTTCTTGAGTTAACTCAGACTCCCTTGGAAGCACTCTTAAGTTTTTTTTTTTTTCCACACATCTCATATAAAAAAATTATGCATTCGTCATCAATACTTTATATACATAGGATATTTATTGAATAACTAGATCCTAATTTCCAAGATTTGTTTCTTCACACAGAAATCTTTCCATACTTTGAATTCCTTATCCTCCAAGTAACCTAGTTCTTAGAGAAATTTGATTCATATTAGAAATCATGAAATAATTACCAACCATATTAAGAAGAACCAAAGACTTTAATTTTAAGAGTACTGTCATCTAAATTAAACTTCTTATTCATAAAAAACACCGTCAGAAGATTCCATATCATAGAAGATCCCTAGTGAGTTCTTCAGACTTTCGAATCCAGGCAATCCACCTTGAAAATATATCCAATATTGAAATATAACATATAAATCTAAGATTTTCTGCTAGCAGGTGAATGAATACATCTAGATTTGCTGACAGTAAATGATTAGTTGTCATGAAGCAAAACTAAAATTGTCATTGGTACATGTCCTTTACTACATGAACTTCAATTAGGCAGAGAAACACACTCAGTTTTGTAAATACATACTTCTCTACCTCTTCATATAATCAAAGAATTTGCATGATTATGAAATCAATTAGCTAGCACATGCTTCTCTACAGATAATTATGAAATTAAAGATTTAAAATCAATCAGTTTGAATAGCTGCTAGTTACTAGAAAATAGTCAAAACTTGTAGTGGGCGAAATTAGCTGAGTGCATTATCATTACATACATATCTCAAACTTACCAAGAATAATAAATAGTTTCTTAGATTGCTTGCAGCTTCTATAACATGTGATGGTAGATTAGTGTGCCAGTGATATTAATAGGCGCTCGAGCCAAGCAAAGGAAGCCCTAAGCACCTCAATACATGTTGGGTGTGACCTAGGCAAGCACCTCAGGCTGGCTGCTAGGCATCCCAGGCGCTCGTCTAGGCTAACCTGCTTATAGTGAACCAAACCCAAATCAGACTCAAGCTAGCCCTGAGTCTGAACCAAACCCATTCCAGTCTGTATTGAAGCCCAACTGCATATTGATTGACGAATCAGACCTGAGCCAGCACCGAGCCTGGACCGCATCTTGGTCTGACTGAACCAATGATATTGATTAATTTTATGTCTATTGGTGAAAGAGTAAATAACTCTTTGAATCCATTCAGGCCACTCTAAGAAGCTGTTTGGTTGCCTGCATTTGTGGCAACCAAAATTTACGATATGTAAAGCTATATGAAAGAACAAAATTTACAGCCCTTATTTCCTCTGTTGGCATTGATAAAATAGCACAAAGTGCCATCATATTTTGGAATCTCGATCAGACATTCTTCTTCCTTAATTAAATACACTACGCAATAGACTATGATAAAATTGTTTACAGGTAGAAAAAACTTAATTGTTGCTTACCTCATAAAAAATAAAGGCCTCTAATCCCATCTCCTTGAGCTCTCTTTTCATAGGATCATTTACACTGATGCCACAGAAATGTCTGAAAAGGGAAGGAAGAGAAAGATCCATGAGATTCCAAATGAAAAGCACGTTATAACATACTTCACAGGAAGCTAGCTCTAGAATACAGAGGTAATTAACAAAAAATAATGGGAAAAACATTTACTTGAAACATTAAGGATTCGAATTCGATCGTGGTGAAGAAGCAACGATCTAGGTTAAACAACTACTATTGAGGAGATAAACCACAAGAGAAAACGGAGGAGATACAATTCACAAGGAAAAGGGTGGATTAGATTCTACCAGCCTTGTCTTGTGAGGCGATCGTACAGGTATCGCCCGACGAACCCCGTTCCCAAGAGAAACAGCCGATTGCTTCCGCCATCGCGTTCAGACCTCATCGCCGCCATGATAATCGGCGTGGGTATCTGGCGGTGCGACCCTCCGGTGGCTAATGGCCCGACACCGAGCCCAAGAGTCGGCGGGAAGAATCGCCGCCTCCATTGCGGTCCAGGGAAAAGAGGGGCTTCGTCTAAGGCACTCGTACTCCCTCTCTGTTAATGTGGACGACGTCTCATACCTTCCCGTACTGTGATTTGAGGCAATGCTGGGGCCCGCCCTCCGGTGGGGACACTTCCAATCGCAAGGCACCACGTAAGCGCCATTTTAACACAGGTGTGTTCATCCGTCCGCGGATGGATAAGCCTCACTCGGTCCGTCGTTCCCTCCCTCCCTCTTCACCGCGCTCTCTCTTCTTCCCTCGGTCGCTCCCTTCCACATGAAATCAAACCCTCGTCTTCCTCCTCGTCTCTCTCTCTCTCCGCTCGAGTCGGAACTATGTAATGTAGCACGTTGGATGTGTCTCTCTTAGGTCAAGAATCAAGATGGCCTCCGCCCCTGCCACTTCGCTCCTACTCCCTCAAGCCGCATCCTTTCTACGCCAACTGCCCGAACCGAAGACCATTCCTCCTCGTTCTCTTCTCAGATGGAACCCTTTGTTCGGCAGCAAATGTCTTCTCACCAAATCCTTTCCCCTTCCCCCATTTGTCGGAGTTCGCGGCCCCGTTTCCTGCTCCTTTGGTGCAGTCAAGGAGGGGGAGGAGGTGAAGCAAAACCCAATTGGCAGCGGCGGTGGCCTCCTGAGTTTGATTATTGAATCCCTCGGTGTGCGCAAGCATCCGGTGCTGGCGGCCGCGTTATTGGGGCTCTTCCTGACCGCCGCCAGTCCGTGCGCTGCCGTTTTGGCCTCCTCATCTCCCTTCCCATGTCATTCCTCCTCTTCTTTGTTGGATTCTACTCGACTTGGAGATAGCTCTGTTCTTTCCCTTGTGATGATGGGTTCAGCAGCCGTGACATTGTTGGCTGGGTTTCTTTTGGATCCCGTTAATGATTGGAAGGAGCCGAAGCTTCAGGTTTGTTGTGGCAGAGTATCTTCTGGATAAGAATTTATTATCAAACGCAATGAATATCCTGTAGTACCTTTATCTCTGACACCATGAGTATGTTTTACCTCATTGGATTAGTGATTCTTTTGACATAATTCTCTAGTATTTATTTGGATGAATATGGTTTTATGTTTTATTGACTCTGTTGTTCGCCCACTTGATACATGCGTTCTGTCCTCTCTTTAGCGTCTATGTTAAGGCTGCAGGAAATTATCTTCGGTTCTGTTAGAAAAAAAATACACAATCTATCCGAGTGTTTATAAAGTGGATCTCCCTTCAGTCAGGATAATTTCTCTTTGTATTTTTTTTTGTTGCTCACTTCAAACCAATGATTCATTGGATTGTTTGTTATTGAGAGTAGCTGATTCTTAGCTCATTCTTTATTTGCAACATTAATATGCTTTGTGCCTGTCGTTGAAATTTTTTGGCCTAGTAACGTTACAACTTTGAACTCTTTAATTCTTGATGGCTTGCCCCCTCCAGAATTTGGTACTGCAAGCATACCATCCCTTTCCTATGCTTGGATGGCTAAGTGTTTGTAAATGATAATTTCCTTGAGTACTTCCAATTTTTATATTAGAAAGTTTGATTAGTTTACTTCTTCATTTTCATTCTCTTGACAGCTAGTACCAGTTTGCTATGTTGGCAAAACTGGAATTTTATTTGGATATATTTCACCATTTGATCACACTTATTTCTGATGATTTTTTTTACTATTTCAACTTCTTAGTTATAAAAACAAGCATTATGGTTTGTTGTTGTCGTTGTTATAATAGTAACAAAACCAAGCACCTCTGGTATTTGCCGCAAGGCCACCGAGCTATATATTTGTTTCTTTACATAAGCAATTGCTGATACATGCCACTTAACATGCATTTCCAGGTGAGCATGCAATGCCTACCAAGAGATCTTGATTGGATTGGTGAAATTACAGAAACATCATCTCTAGAGGGATTGGACAGTGGTTTAACAGGTAAATCTGGACATATGAAGTCTTTTGTGCTAATTTACTCCCTAGAGTTCTACCTTCATCTGCAGAGTTGACAGAAGTATGGTATTGACAGAAGTATGGTATGTGTGAGTTCTTGTGTGAGGGCATTGACAGAAGTATGGTATTTGTGCTTTCCAATGGTATGGTTGGAGGTTTTTATCCTGATTCTGCAGCTGTTACATTGGTTCCTCACTTCATTATGCCTAATCTAGAGTAGATGCATCCTCTTCACCATGCAATTAGACTAGAGACATCAAGTCAAGTACTAAATTAATGGTTCGTAAAAATGCCAGTTTTTGCTTTTGGACAATATTTATTGTCATACATATGTTTCTTTATTGCTTGTTTTTGCTGCAGATTATTTTACTTCTCAAACTTACTTCAGAAATCAGCTAGATGCTTCTGGAGTTTCACATCCAAAGGAAAGAAAGTTGGGTTTAAAGTGGAAGGATCAGATATTTTTCTCAAGAAAAGTAAAATTTCAAGGATCTTGTCTTCACAATAAAAATAGACAACTTATGAAGGCAGTTGCCACTAGCATGCCAGCATGCTTGGTTCCTCATGAATGTGATACCAAATTACTAGATTCTAACTTGGATGCTCAAGCAATTCAAATTGAATCAACAAATGATGAAACCTCTGTAATAGAAGACAGAGAAAAGTTGAGAAGGATGAGGATTTCTAAAGCAAATAAAGGAAATGTACCATGGAACAAGGGAAGGAAGCACAGTGCAGGTAAAGGATTCAAGTGTACTGACTACATTGAGTCTTGTTTCCCTGTTTTCTGAAATACATCTTTCTTACATCTCCTTATTCATATAAAATTTTCACAGAGACTCTTCAGCGCATTCGAGAGAGGACCAAATTAGCAATGCAGGATCCAAAGGTGATGTCATGTAAGAACTAGGAACTAGGTGAAATTATTATGTATGAACTGTCATTAGCAGTGTAAATTTTGTCAAGGAAAATTACAAGTACATAAGAAATTGTCATTTCTGGCATAATTGTCCATATAATTCAAGAAAATTTGAAATATATTTTAATTGTCCATATCTTGTGAACTATATTGATCCCGATCTTTTGAAGTGTTGTTTATATCTGTTAGGTATTTGCCTTTTGTTATATGAGTGCTGATTAGTATGCTTTGGGGGTATATGAATATTTAATGTAAGTAAACCAGCCTACTGATATTTATTAATCAGCATGCTGGATCTGTTGAACACTTTAGTTAAACTTTGGCTTGGAGATTGCAAAACCATTCACAGAGCTATATGGAGTGACATATACCTTCATTTGAACTTTTGTACAGGCAATCATATATGCTAGAGTTTCTGCAGCGAGATATATCTATTTATTTCCTGCCATCCGTAGATTGATAGTCTATTTTACATCTTTACAGACATAGAAAGTTACATTGCACAAATAGCATACATGTTCTATTGGATTATGGCAACTCCTGGTTATTTTCGTTATAAATAACTTGATTGATGTGCAGGTCAAAATGAAGTTAATGAACTTGGGACATGCTCAAAGGTTAGTTCTGCTTTGACTATTCAATGAAATTCATCAACTATGATCTAGAAATTCTTATATGAAAATTTATCAATGACCTAAGGTGTGAAGATAACTGACGCACAAATCTTGAGCCTTTTCTCAAGTGAGGTTCATAAGCTTCGATAAAGCATGCCTCATTTTGTTTTGTGTGTTGGAATTAATAGTGAAAGGAATGAAAATTCATCTCCTTGGGAGGAAAAGAAATGGAACTGATGCAGAACATTTTTCTTTATTGAGATGGATACAACATTTAGAATTGGACATTCTGACATATCAATTCACCATTGTTGTCTTCTCCTCTCCGTTTCTTCTTTAATTTTTTCCCTTTCTTGTCATAACTATGCTTTTATCTTTTTTTCACATGTTTTGTCTTTTATAATTGGCATAACACTAGACCTTGAGCTAACAGGCTAAAATGCGTTTTTTTATTATTTAGATACTAGGTGATGGCAATTACATCACACTTATAGAATGATTTCATTTTTGACTTCTTTAATTTTTTTTCATATGTACTTACGTTTGTGCCTTTCTTCAGTAAGACACATGCCTTGCCTCGTACTTTGTGATGCATCACTAATGTTGAGGCTTGGGGAAACCTTGGCATCTTGATGTGTCCCGGGGCTTTAACAACTCTGCTTGGTGGCAGCATTCTTTTTTGGCTAAAATAAATCTCGTGATGGTTAATACATTCTGCTGCACTTGTGGCCTTTGTCATTTTGGAAGTTGGAATATGACAGCCTTATCAGTTATATAGATCCTTGGTCTGAGATGTGTTAAACAATCTATATTATCTTGGTAGAAAATGCTTCACAGAATTCTTTATGTTGTTATGCTCATGTCTGTTGAATCTCGGATTTTGATGATCATATCAATTGATGTGTTTATGATTTAATCTGCGTTTTGAGTGACGCATGACTAGCTTCGATCAAGGAGAGGCAAATTGATTGAAGTAGGAAGAATCAAATGTTGGGTCGGAGTTGAACATGTCAGGAGATTGGATGTCGGGCCGGAGGATCAGTTGACGTGTCGGCAGAAGGCTTTGGTCTGTGAATTCGGGCATCGAGCCAAGAAGATCGGACATTGCGCCAAGGAGATCGGATGTTGCGAGAAGACAACATACTGATTGGACAATACGCTGAAGGATCAGACGATGCGTCGAAGGATCGGACGAAGCGCCAGAAGAACCAATGACATGTCGGATAACAAATGATTTATGCTTTGTAATAATTTGTCTAGATTGAGTTAGTTTAGGTCTAATTGAGTTAGTTTTGAATGTAATTAGGCAAACTCAATTATGGGCTAATTGGGCCTATGTTGGAATTATTTTGGGTCAAGAGAAAAGCTCATTCAGTGACCCAAAAGTTGACGTAATTACATTCTAAACCAACTCAATTAGACCTAAACTAACTCGATCTAGACAAATTATTACAAAGCACGAATCATATGTTGTCTGGCATGTCATTGGTTCTTCCGGCGCTTCGTCCGATCCTTCGGCGTATTGCCCAATCAACATGTTGTCTTCTCGCAACATCTGGTCTCCTTGGCGCAATGTCCGATCTTCGTGGCCTTATGCCCGAATTCACGAACCGAAGCCTTCTGCCGACATATCGACCGATCCTCCGGCTCGACGTCCAATCTCCTGACATGTTCAACTCCGGTCCAACATCCGATTCTTCCTGCTTCAATCAATTTGCCTCTCCTTAATCGAAGCTAGTCTTGCGTCACTCAAAACGCAGATTAGATCATAAACACATCAATTGATTTCATCATCAAAATCTGAGATTCAACAATGTCATGCATATGTCTTGATAGAAAAAGCGATTTGTTGTCATTATTATATCCATTCTAGTGGAAATCACACATGCTCTTGAGCTATGTTAACAATCTTGGTATGGAGTTTGCATGCTTGAAGTTTTTTCACAAGAATTAAAGGCTTGAAATGTAACATACTATGGTGCATTGGCAATATCTATAGATTGAGTTAAATTGATGGATACATAGAGCGGTGATGTTGCCTATTCACTTATTTTGGTTTGAAGGTCAAGCAAGTTAAAATAAAATTTATGTTGCTTTATGAATTGATAACATCAAGACTTTTGTTTGCAATAATCATTGAGAATGGTAAATGAAGAATATAATGTTGAGAAAACAAAAAATTGTTTTCAAAGAACTCAAAAATGCAAAAGATTTGAGGAAGATTGTTAAACTATCAGCAGTTGTTTTGGACTCTCGTATACATTATTGTTTTCAAATGATAAAAGTGACGATCAGGATAAATAAAATTGATACCAATAAGATGCATGAAGACTTGATTTTGTTAGGATGTAATCTTTACAATTTTGAAGTTTTACCTGAAAATTCTTTTTCCCTTTGAACTCTACATTTAATGGCACCTTTTGAAGGGGTTTAAATTGAAATAAGTAGTTAGTGCTCATAGTTGCTCTGAAAATCCTTACCTTCTAGTTTTACCATGTTGGAAACTAAGTGGGTTGACCTGGTTTGCTTTCATGTTTTCATTGTTGACCAAGTTAATACCGCAAGAACTTTGTGTGCATTAAATTATTTGTCTTTTTTGTATTATTGTTGCAGTGAGGAAACAAGAATGAAAATTAGTGCAGGAGTACGTGAGGGTTGGCGGAAACGACATGAAATGCTGATGGTGCAGGAAGGGTGCTTTTTTGAGTGGCAGAATTGTATTGCAGATTCTGCCAGAAGGGGTTGTGCTGGTGAAGGCGAGTTGCAATGGGATTCATACAAAATCTTGAATGAACAGCTTAAGCGGCAGTGGCTCGAGAGCATGGAGAAGAGGAAAACAAAGCTCAGGACAAAGGAGAGTAAACGAGCACCAAAATCACCTGAGCAGCGAAGAAAGATTTCAGAGGCCATTGCTGCCAAGTGGGCTGATGCTGTAATTACTACCTTTTCTGCAGTAGTTTCTATAGCATGATTTTTTACCTTTTCTCAGAGAGTGACACGCAAAAAGATTCACAAAGCATTCATTTTCCTGTTTTAGCTATCTTTTTTTTTTCCTTTCACACAATTTTATGTAAGGCAAAAGCTTCATTTTTTATCATTTTTTTAGTGCAATCATGTTCATAACAGTAGACAGTTATTAGATGCATTCATGTCTATGATACTTCCAGTTCCAGTTAGCATACTTATATAACAATGTGAAGGATGTCATAAGCAAGTCTGAGTATTGAGAAAAAAGAGTGGAGTTTATTTTTAGAATTACAATTTATATTCTTAATTCCCCAATAGCCTCAAAGTATCGATTGACATTATCTTTTTCTGTATTAGGAATATCGTGCTCGAGTTTGCAGTGCAATGGCTAAGCATCATGGTACAGCTATTGGAGCTGAAAGAATACGAAGAAAACCTAGTGGTGAAACTTCTGTGAAGATTACCATGAGAAAGAAAACCATGAAGCCCAGCATCAGTAACTATGAGGACAGAAGTATCAAGAAAGTGATATCCAAGGGAAGGAAAAACTCAACTCCATTATACAAAGACCCAATGGTAAGTTTCAAATTTGAGATTATAAAGAAGATCAAAGAAGAGAGAGCAGCGAGGGAAGCAAAAAAGCAAGAGGTTACCGAAAGGGCTAAGTAAGTCCATCATGCTTACTGTTAACACAACTAAGCAACCATGTTTCTTGCTTTAATATATGATGGCATAGGCTTCAACATATTAGCTTTATGTACTTTAAGGTAGAACCAGCTTAGTTTATTTTCTTTGTTCATTCATTGTGCATTACCATTCTTCAGTGTGTTAGTCATCTCCATTATCATAACTATAATTACTTTTTGGATGATCAGGTTACTAATTGCTGAAGCAGAAAAGGCTGCAAAAGCCCTTGAGATGTTTGCATTGAATAACCCTCTTGCACAAACTTCACTATTGGAAACTAGGAAGCTGATTGCTGAGGCAACACGGTCCATTGAAAACATAGAGACTGGAATGTTAACAACACAGGATTATAGTGATAAATCTTTAGATTTTGGTGGACCACTAAATCATTTCCATAGCAATCCAGGGGTGCCAAGCATTGAGAAGTTCAAAGAAAGACTTGTAAATGGTTTTCATACACCCCCTTCAAGTAGAATTAACCATACAGATATTGATTCTGACCGGTTACCACTGGAACCTGCGGTGAACGGCTGGGAACCTTCAACAGTTACTCAAAGTACAGAGAAGTCTACAGGATTTTGTTTACCTGTGGATACTGAGAGTGTGGGAAAGGGATCAGAAAAGATCAGCAACCAAACGAGTCAATCTGTTGTTGGTAAGGCCGTAAAATATGAAAACAATTCTGAAAAAGAGGATATCAGAACGTCAGAAGGGAAAGATACTGTACCTTCGAGGAATCTCAAGAAGAAATGGGTGTGTGGAAGACTAATCGAAGTTGACAAATCTGATGAAGCAGAACAAGACAGCATATCAGGGAACAAATAGAAGACTATGAGAATGTATCAAGATAACATTAGATGTCAACCCTAAAATAGATTTGCTGGTCAATTTAGGCTGAGCAAGCTCTAATCAGGTATTTTCTTGGCTACTGTTGTAGATTTTTGTGACTGGTGTTGATTATCATAATGAAAAGGATGAACCAGCAGAAAAGATTGTCAGCCAGTTATATCATGGATGGCACGATCAAATATAACCTGCCGAATAATTTTGCTCCAATACCTAGAGACTCAACACCTCAGAAAAGGCTTACAGTTTCCAGTTGCTGTGCTGATTTGTTGCCTGAAGCATAATTTTGTGCAATGCATACTACATTATGAATGTTCTGTCATGGAAGATTTCAATATTACAATTATATTGAGCCAACTACAATGACTCAAATGTAACTGCCACAGACTGAACTTGAACTGATGTTAAGCAGTCAAATCAACTTGCTGTTAGAATTTTTGGATCAACAAGTTTTTCAACTGGAGAGAAAAACCACTGCTGTTGAAGTATATTTAGTCATTAATTTGTCTTTTAAAATGTAAGCTTGGCAATATGTGGATTTGGGCTATATTGACACAAGCTGGATGTTGATGTGATGAATGAGATCTTACCTTTTATGATAATAATAACAATAATGAAGATATAGAATATTTCATTCATACATCAAAATGTTTTCTCTAGTTAAATCAATTATAAAAAACCTACTAAGCCATAGATATTAATAATTGTTAGCTAAAATTTTTTATTCCGTTTTAAGACGGACGAAAGTATCGAAAGGATCACATCAAAAAAACATCAGGGGATTTTCTCATAAATTCCATATTTTAGTTTCGATCATACTAAAGTAATTTAATAGCTTAATTTGTTTATGTAATCTATTATATTCAATATGTTCCATAATTCTCCGTTCTTCCAAGTAATTTCACCAGGAAAATGACAAAAAGTAGTCTAACCACTAACCCAGAAGGATAACAAGTACATGAGTTTGGTTACTCAAAGTCAAATCCTATTCATTAGCCACAAAAAAAAAACAAATCAATTGTAAACAAATTTGATATCCAATTGTAAACAAATTCGTGAAGAAACTTTCACGAATCACGAGGCACCATTATTGGTGCTCCCTTTACAGTAACGTTATATTTGTCCATTCACTTTATTCATGTTCTGTGGTTTTCTGAAAGAAACATTGTGTTGTGTCGTTATGTGTATTGTCTCGAATCATCCCACCTTCTCCTTTGCTCTTTTGTTTTTGTTCTTCCTATTCCTTCCTTCACCACCTTTCCCTTCAATCAGTACGGACCTCCGCAGCTTCCTCGTTCCTAAAATCCTAAGCTACTTTTGGTGTATTTCTACCAATTCCCTTTTGTCCTTTGAAAAGTGATGTTGGGGTTCACAAATATTCTTTCATTTCTGGAGTAATTCTTAAGGAATAAATAATTCAAGCATCCAAATCTTCTTTCTTATGTGAAAGAAAATAATTATAAATTTAAATTGTATTATTTTTATATATAAATAGTATATAAATATTGTGTTTGCCTTTTTATTTCTCATTTTCTTGAAATATTTCAGTAATTAAGGTATTATTATATTGGTTTGGGTTATCTCCTCACATAGGTTCTCTGTTTGGGGACCAAGAGAAGAAGCCCGGCCACCCGCATATGGGTGATGAACATGGCTTCCTTCGGTGGGGTGGTTGTGACAGTTCTGCTGCCGGCTTCTCCTTCTTTATGTATTAGGTGAGCTTTGGTTGAAGAAAGCTCTGAATCATGTTTTTGGCTCCATCGCAACCCATGGAATCGGATGCACGTACTCGCTGTGTCATGTTAAGATAGCTCACCTTCCTTCCTCACTCACACATGGTGATCGATCTCAGACTCCGACGGCGTACTCTGTCAGTGCAGGTGACTCTCTCTCTCTCATCTTCTTCGGCAATCTAGTGCGAACTGCTTCGAGATCCAACTCATTGTTGATGCAGGTTCCAGAATGGGTTTCATGACGAAGCACTTCCTTTTGCTTGCCTTGTCCCTGTCAACGTGGAGCTTCGTGGCGATGATCGCATGCGGAGGCACCCCCACGAGTACTGCTGCTCGTCTTCTCGCCATCAAGTCCGACCTCATCGACCCCGGAGGAGCCATGGCGAGCTGGTCGCCAGGGCTTCCTGATACGTGCAGCTGGAATGGAGTCACGTGCTCGGATGACCGGAATCACGTCGTCGCTTTCAACTTGTCCGGCTACGGCCTCTCCGGCTCTGTCTCCTCCAAGTTCGCGGGTCTTGCGTTCCTTGAGACGCTCGACCTGTCTTCCAACTCCCTCGCCGGACCCATCCCCCCTGAGATCGGCATGCTCAAGCGCCTCAGAGAACTGCTGCTCTTCTCCAACTCCCTCTCCGGCTTCATCCCTCCCGAGATCGGCCTTCTCACAGATCTCAAGGTTCTGCGACTGGGAGACAACATGTTGTCAGGGACGATCCCTCCACATCTCGGCAACTGTACTGGGTTGGAGGTTCTTGGCCTCGCCCAATGCCAGTTGAACGGAAGCACCCCCGCCCAGATTGGCCACTTGAACCGCCTCAAGACCCTCAACCTGCAGCAGAACAGGCTTACCGGTCGAACGCCTGGCGAACTCGGTGGCTGCAGTGCTCTCCAAGTTCTGTCCATGGCGGACAACATGCTCCAGGGGGAAATCCCTTCGTCCATTGGAAGACTGGCCTTCTTGCAGGTTCTTAATCTGGCGAATAACCAGTTCTCTGGTTCCATTCCCACTGCCCTGGGTGGTCTTTCGAGCTTGAGCTACCTGAACTTGCTGGGTAACGCCCTCAATGGCACCATTCCTCCTCAGCTGAATCGCTTGACTCTGCTGCGAATCCTCGACCTGTCGAAGAACAACCTATCCGACGCCATCAGCATCTCCACGAGGCAGCTGAAGAATCTGCGGTACTTGGTCCTGTCGAACAATCTCTTACAAGGCAGCATCTCCGGAGACCTCTGCGACGAGAGTTCAAGCTTGCAGAATCTTTACCTCGCCGGAAACCACCTGTCGGGCACGATCCAGGAGCTGATGGATTGCATCTCGCTCCGCTCGCTCGATCTCTCGAACAACAGCTTGAGCGGCGGGATCCCGTCGGACATCGATCGCTTGACCAACCTCGTCGATCTCGTGCTCCATAACAACAGCTTGGTCGGGGGTTTACCGCCGCGGCTGGGAAACCTGAGCCACCTGCAGATGCTGTCGCTCTTCCACAATGGTCTCACAGGCAGCATTCCGGCAGAGATCGGCAAGTTGCAGAGGCTACAGCTCTTGTTCTTGTACGAGAACCAGATGACCGGGATCATACCGCACGAATTGACGAACTGTTCGAGCTTGGAAGAGCTCGATTTCTTCGGGAACAGTTTCAGTGGGCCGATCCCTGAGACGATTGGGAAGCTCAAGAATCTGGTAGTGCTTCAGCTGAGGCAGAATGATCTCTCAGGCCCCATTCCTCCGAGCCTGGGCGACTGCAACAAGCTCCAGGCCTTGGCTTTGGCGGACAACCGGCTCTCGGGGACTCTTCCTCCGACCTTCCGATTCCTCACCGAGTTGAACCTCATCACGTTGTACAACAACTCGCTCGAGGGTCCGATCCCAGACTCGTTGTTCTCCTCTCTCAAACATCTCGCCATCATCAACCTGTCTCACAACAGGTTCACCGGGAGCATCTCACCGCTCTTGGGCTCAAACGCTCTCGTCAAACTGGACTTGACCAACAATGCGTTCTCCGGCGTGATTCCTCCGACACTCGGTGAGTCAACAAACCTGGCCCGTCTTCGACTAGGCCACAACCTGTTGCAGGGCGGCATCCCCTCCGAACTCAGCCGCCTTCGATGGCTCGATTTCCTCGACATGTCCTCCAACAACCTCACCGGGGAAATCCCCTCCGACCTCTCAAACTGCACCAGACTAACTCACCTCCTACTTGGAAAGAACAGGGTCACAGGTACCATCCGTTCTTGGCTGGGAAACCTGCACTCTCTTGGAGAGCTCGACCTATCATGGAATGAGCTCAGTGGACAGATACCAGCAGAGATCGGGAACTGCTCAGGGCTTCTTAAACTCTCTCTACAAGACAACCATCTCTCGGGGATGATCCCGCCGGAGCTCGGGAGGCTCACTTCGCTAAACGTTCTCAACCTGCAGCGGAATAACCTCACCGGCACCATACCTTCCGCAGTGCTTATACACTGCAAGAAGCTCTATGAACTGAGGCTCTCTGAGAACTCCTTGACTGGTTCGATACCTTCGGAGATCGGACAGCTGATTGAGCTTCAGGTGATGCTGGATTTGAGCAGAAACCACTTGTCAGGAGACATCCCTTCGTCTCTCGGAAATCTTATCAAGTTAGAGAGGCTTAACCTCTCTTTCAATCATCTCGACGGGCGAATCCCTGCTTCTCTGGAGCAGCTCACCAGTCTCCATCGACTCAATCTATCGAACAACCCTCTTTATGGCCGGATTCCCGCAGGGCTCTCGAGCTTCCCAGTTAGCTCCTTCACTGCAACCAAACTCTGCGGTGCACCACTGACTGCTTGTATAACAAGATCATCAAGCTCTGACATGAGTCGACTGTCCAATGCAGCAGTGGCAGGCATCATAGTAGCGATCGTCTCCATTTCAGCTGTCGTCTGTGTGGTGTTGCTCTGCATCATCATCAGGTTGTGGAGTAAATGGAGAGAGGTCTCCGTCTCGAATTCCGACGGCGAGGAGTGTAAAGAGAAGCAAGAGAGACGGGGCGGTGGTGGCGGTGACAGGTTCGAGAATTACTGGAAGGTTGGTTCAACGTGCATGGTTACTTCATCAGAGAAGCAGAGCTCTACCTCTGAGACTAGCATTCTCCAACAGAAGATGGAAGTTGGTGGCTTGGATGATTCAGGATCGTGAGCTGATCACTTTTGAGATCATTCTATTTGTGCTTGATTTCTTCTTCTTCTTCTTCTTCTTCTTACCGACTTGGATGATTCAGAATCGTGAGCTGATCACTTCTGATATCATTCTATCTGTGCTCGATTTCTTCTTCATCTTCTTCTTCTTCTTCCTTCACGGTTTAACGCTTGCGAGACTTGTAACGTACAAATGGTTTTATTAAGGAGTGCAAAGGCCCATTAAAGACATATTCTACCATGCAAAGCACGAAAACTTAGCCTTGTTGGCTAATTTTTAGGTAATTTTACGGGTTCTCTTTTTTCTATTAACTCTTCAATTGGTTAAATTGTTTATATCGTGTCATCCCGCCAATGCATTCATTCAATACAACATTAGCTTTAAACTACGGGACTCGTTAACATTCGCCTATAAAAGGGGGAGAAGGAGTCGAGGCGGTCCATCTTCCGTCTTCCCGGCGCTCATCGCTTCCCGACCCTTGCGAAGGAAGGCTCTCTCTCTCTCTCTCTCTCTCTCTCTCTCTCGTGCTACATCGCAATGAGAAGTAAGTCGTCAAGCCTTCCCGCTCCTTCTGCTTCTACTCTCTTCCATCCCGTCGGCCTTTTCCCGAGGCCAATCCCTATATCCTGTAAAGAAGGTAAACTTCTAGGTTGATTCCTCTGGTGTTGGTTAGATTTG